GGGAGTATCAGTATGGTGAACGAGTAAAATAAAATTTTTGGTGAGTTATAACGCGTGAAAACAGGGCATTTCGTATTTTCTACCCTTTTGAGTGGGTGTGGTGGGGTCCAATGTGGCCATGACATGAAACTAGTTATTGATGACGCATGGGAGACTGAAGGGCGCGTTGAGATGCATGCGTTGCTAGAACACAACTTCCCCTCAGTGAAACTTAAACTTAGGCAGGCCTACCAGGCAGCCCTCTGCTACAACATTTTCAAATTATGGCGTGGAATTATGAGCTGGACAAGTGGTGAAGCCTTCATTCCACAAGACCAATACGGAATAAACAACGTAGGTCATCTGAATGTGCTTAATTGGATTCGTATCAGTTTTTTAACATTTTCCTCATTCTGGCTCCAAAGGTTTGGTCAATTAACCTTATCAATATTGAAGCATTGAAACATTTTAGTCGGTACATTTGGACTTTAGTTAATGCGTCGCATGTAATTTTTAAGCCTTTGCTTTGCCTTAAATACAAATTAGAAAATCGTTTACCGCACAATTCGTATCTTTCACCTTAATCGGGCAACATGTCGTCAATTAAGTTTTTTATCCTCCTCGCCCTAACCATGGGTGCATCACGTGGTGAAAATGGACTTCTGCAAGCGTTACGAAGTAAGTCGTACAAAATAATTTGCAATGATTCCTAAAACAGTTGTGGTTGCTATAAATTTGGATTTTTCTCGGAAGCAGGAACATTGAAGGATTTCAAATTGGAGGGATTGGAGGGAATTTCAACTGTAACCGAAGACGGGGGGATAACTCTCCCCCCATTTCGTTTCTATTTTCCATTTGATATCGGATTTGTATACACTTACGTGGATTTTACGTCACAGTGAGTTTCAAATAAATTTGTAATTAAATTTAAAAATGTTGATCTATTTATTTAATAGAGCGCGAGTTAAAATAACTTAAACACATTATTAAAATTTATAGTAGTGTGTAAAAAGGCAGGAAATGCTTTTTTGCCCGAAAAAATTGATGCCTTTTTGCCATTTTGCTAAGAATTTGTCTCGAGAAACCATACACCTTTAAAAATAATTTTACTTTTTTGAAAAGTGAGAGCACTTTTGACTTCATTTGAGATAAACTAAACTAAATCCGGAATATTCGTTATTTTACTAACAATGCAAGTCTTTTACGTGTACAACTCAGATCGGGTTGGGACCAATTTTATTTTGTTCACCACAAAAAATAAGCATACCCGTATTTTTTCATTTTTCCTAATGCGCCAATTTGAGCGCGAGGCGCGAATTTTTAAACATTTTTCAGCCAAAACCTCGCTTTTTAAAAATTCTGTAAATTTTCCAATTTTTGCGCGAATCCAAAAATTCGAAAACACGTCTCTTCAGAATGACTTTCCTGACTTATGAAAAATCCAATTGTCTCGAAATTTGAATTTCAAAATTTTTTGCCAGTTTTTGAAATTAATTAAAATGATAAACTCTTTCAAATTTTTAATTTTTCAAAAAATAATGCATATGGATTTTTTACAAGTCAAGTAAGGCATTCTGAATAGACATGCTATCGAATTTTTGGATTCGCACTAAACCTCGAAAATTTATAGAATTTTTAAAAAGCGAGGTTTTGGCTGAAAAACGTTTAAAAATTCGCGCCTCGCGCTCAAATTAGTGCATTAGGAAAAATGAAAAAATACGGGTATGCTTATTTTTTGGGTGAACAAAATAAAATTGGTCCCAGCCCGATCTCTGTTGTACACGTAAAAGACTTGCATTGTAAGAGTAAAGTTTACTCTGAATTTAGTATAGTTTACTTCAAATAGAGTTAAAAGTGCTCTCAATTTTCAAAAAAGTAAAATTATTATTTTTTAAGAGCGTAATATTGCCTCAGAAATTGAAAATTTTTAAAACTCTGTAAGATTTGTTTTGCCTTGTTATGCATACGTTTTTATTACCACATAAAAATGGCAAACAGGCACGCAAATGCAAGAGGGCAGTCGGGCACGAAAAATAGCCAAATGGCTGCGTTTCTGCACAAATTGATTGCAAGTAACATGCCTGAAAAGATGTTCATAAAATACGAAACAGATGCATAAAATTATAAATTTTAGAAACACAACTGCCTACGGATTGCGTGAAGCTGAGACAAACCTTTCTCTAAATTTCTCCGGAGACAAGTTCACCTTTGAGGGATTATTAAACGCCTCGCGGTTATTTTTTGTGGGAGATTACTTGTCCAACTCGTACGAGGGCACACCTTTTATTCCAGATATTTATTCCAGATATGTGACAAGATGGGTTGGGGAAGACGAGTATTTCACATGAAATCACATCGCGGATTTCATCATTCCCGTAATTTTAGGGAATTTACTTCCTGGTATTTCTGGATATAAAGAGCACATTTTGAGAATAAAATCAGTAGTGAAAAATACTCGTACACATCTCCTCCTCCTCTCTCATACTCATTGCATACCTTATAGTGCAACCTCTGATATCGGGAGGCTGCGTTACGGATCAGAGTGGGTCGCAGTAACCCTTGCGCTATCTAGGTACACCTTAAGCAGATAATCAATTATCTGCTCTCACGAGCATCTGCACAGATAACCAGTTATCTGCTGCGTTCCTAACACAGGGCAATATCCCATTATCAGAGGGCGGATATGTATGTATTTCTAACTTTTTCATTCCCAATCAGATCTTACTATAACTTCGTATACACACATCCTATCGAAGCATGATTTCAAAAATTCAAACATGGTTTTCCATATTTTACATATTTTAGGGTTTTCGTACATATACATATTTTCATACATATTTTGAGGTTTTTTCGTAAATACACATATTTTCCTACATATTTCGAGCATTTTCTAAAAATAAACATTTTAATGCATATTTCAGGATTTCCTGAGGAAAAAATATTTTTCTTCATTCAGACGTTAAAGTTGGATAAAAATTATACTTTCATGATAACGGAGTTTAATTCGTGTAAACGACTAGAAAATCCATTTTGCCCCATTTTTCAAGCCATAAAATTGCCCCTGAAAATCTCTAAATATGGCTAATGTCGTTTTACGGGTCATTACATGAATATTAAATACAATACATAATAATTCATTAATAAGAGTGTTACAAATTTGAAACTTTTCGAAAATTAAATGCAAATATAGTAGAAAATTTCGGTTGAAAAATATGTTTTACGTGCATATTTTCGCGTTTTTTAAGTACATATTACATACATATTTTGAGGAATTTAAGTACATACATATCCGCCCTATGCCCATTATTGTCCATTTATTGGCTCCCCTACGAATCGAATTCCGGTCCTTTTGTCCTCCTTGATGCTAGCAGCATCGTCTCATGAGTGATAAGTCTGACCCCGATTCTCAGTTGCCGCCCGTCCTCGCTCCCAACGCTCCCGCCCCCGACGCCGACACCGCCGCTGGTCCTTCCGTACGGTCCACCCGCGCTCGCGGTCCTCCGCCCCTGGTTGTTCCTCACGTTGCTGCTTCCCGCCGTCGTCACCGGGACGCGCCTGTCCTTCATCCGTACGACGTTACACCCCCCCCGGTTGCACCCGGCCCCGCGGCTCCCCCCGCTCCTCCTCTCCCTCCGGCCCCCGGCTATCTCCGCACTTTACTCGGACCCTTCGGCCGTCTCCTTCCCCCCTCTCCTGCCAACTTATTTCCCCTCGATCTTGGTCCGCTTCCCGGGTCGGACGAAGAACGTTTTGACGACTCGCTCTCCTGAGTAGCCTCTCCCGTTCCCGGAGGTTCCGGATCGGAAATTGATAACGAGGCCAACCCTATTGACGTTAGGGCACTCGCAGCGGCCGCAGATGAAGCTGCGTATCTACTCCAAGAGGCGATCGCCACCGCCGCCGACTTACGAGGCGCCGCTGACGACGCTGCCAGAAACGCTGCAGACGCAGAAGCTGCCGAAGCAGACGCTGAGGTAGTAAACGCCGCAGTCGCAGCCGCTATAGTTGCTAACACAGAAGCAACCGCCGCTGAATCCAACCTCCAAACCGCCGCTGATACCTACACCGCAGCAGCCGCAGCCGCAAACAACGACGCCGCTGCCGCTGCCCACAGCACTACCTCCAATTCTTCTGGAAGTAGCAGCGCCGCTGGTGGCACTCCAATACCAACCATGGCTCCGAATGCGGATGACGTTTTAGCTTACCAAAGCGTATACGAAGCTATCAAGGCTAGGGTTGAACAGGGGACAACGGTGGTAACGAACCATGAGGCAGGCAATGCGCTGCTAACTGAAATATCTGCCCAAGTTCAGGTCGATACATTTAAGGTCCTGGACCAGGACCTGATCAACCTCCACACGAGCTGTTTTGGCACATTCTCTGCTGTAAAAAATACCCCTTCGGATCCCCATGCACCACGTGACCAACCGTTATTGGACCTCCAAGCCTTACAGGATGAGTTTACTCGTACTCGAGTAAAAACACTGGAGATTCAGAAGGAATTGGTTAACAAAACCGGTGCCGGATTAAAACCCCCTAGGCTTGGACTTCCCCACTTCAAGGGGAATGCAGCCGATTGGCCAGATTTCAAAGCCGCCTTCGTAGTTATGGTCAACGATTCACCGAAATTTTTACCAACTGAAAAACTACGCCTACTTAAAGAGGCCTTATCCGGGCGCGCTGCTGACAACATTACGGATCTTAAAACTACTGACGTCAACTGGAAGATCGCCTGGGATCGAATGCCCGCTCGATACGACAGCGCGAGGGAAACCGCATACGCGGCTCTTCGACCCTTGTTCGAATTACGTGACCTTAAGACCCCTAACGGAGCTGGCATACATTATTTACTCGCCCAAGTTCGAACAGCCCGGGCCCAACTTGATGAAATTCCCCTTGGGGGAGTGGGCAAAGACGAAGTGTTGTTTTCCCACTTTATTCTGGCACACCTGGATGATGAAACTTCAATCAAATTCAATGATTCACTTCCAAATAGTGATGTGCCTTCAATTTGAACCTTGATGACTTGGCTGGAACACCATGCTAAATCACTCGAACTCAACCGGTCTATGAAACATACCTCACGGAGTGATGCGAAACCTAAGCCAGAGCGCCGTAGCAATCCTCAACCAATTTTAGCAGTACAAGGCGTAAAACCACAAGTGACCTTTAGAGACCAACGGGAACGGTCGCCCGCCCGTAAATTAATTATTAAGGGTCGCTCATCAGCACAACAGCAACGACGGGAACTCGGCAGAGCGCGCAGCCCGTCCCCTCATCCAGAACATCGCAGCAGGTCTCCTAGCCCAGCCTACAATCGTAAAACACCCGGACAATGGACGATGTCCCCTCGAACAACAACGAAGACATGCGCCGCTTGCCAAAGCACCGCTCATCTCATTCAACACTGTCCCGAATTTACTGCTTACTCGGTCAGTGCTAGGAAGGATTGGATTCGTAGCAATAATCGCTGCTACAACTGTCTTGGAAATCATCCCGTTAAGGAATGCACGTCCAAGTTCACATGTTCTAAATGCCAGAGACGGCATCATACCTTGATTCATACGGACCCAACCGTCAGTCACATCCTCATGCATAGCAAACTGAACCGAACTGCTACAACCGACGATGGAGAACGTGGAATCTATCCCACGGAACTGGTTACACCGACCAACGGTCAACACCAGGCCATCGATTTGGTTCGTTGCTTATTGGATTCTGGAGCTGACCAATGTTTTATCAGTTCCGCTGCTGCTCGTCGTGCCGGCCTCAGTATCATTGGAAAACCCAGGAATTTTACAGTGGCTGGTGGACGCTCCACCTCCTCTCTTGGATACGTGACTATCCACTTACGGACTAGATTTCATGCTCAAGCCAAGGAGTTTCGCATAATCGCATGTGTCCTGTCCCAGTTAACAAGCACCACTCCTTTAGAACCTTTTGACACAGACAAATGGGATCACCTCAAAGGGTTACCATTAGCTGATCCGGATTACAATAATCCGGATGAAATCGATATTCTGCTCGGAACATCCTTTGTTGATAAAATCATGCGTGGCAGAAAAATCGAAGGGGAAGAAGGCACACCTAGCGCCTATCTGACCGAATTCGGATATGTCATTCAGGGCAGTATGACAGTGCCGTCTGAAGGTTGTATAACCCACCTCAACACCACTCGAACTGTTCAAAGGGAGCTCGAAGAGAACCGACTCCCACACAACTCCACCAAGGAGTCTAGGCATATTCCACCGCATCAGCGACCTACGGACGCGCCCCCCGACTTTCACCTTCAGCGATTTTGGGAAACAGAGGAACCTCCAATTCAGGTTCCCCTTACTCCGATGGATGAATTTTGCGAAGACCATTATCAGACCACCACTGTTCGGCTACCCAATGGTCAATATCAAATTCGATGGCCATTCATCGCTGAACCAGAATTACTGGGTAGTTCATATCAAATGGCTCACAGCCGTTGGCTAAGCATGGAACGAAGGCTCGCCACGGACCCCGCACTGTCCCAAGATTATCATAAACAATTTGAGGACCTCATTCAGTCGGGTCAATTAGAACCCATTCCCGCTGACGAGTTCTATAAAAGGCCTCACTTCTGGACACCCCATCACTGCGTATTTAAACCCTCATCCACAACCACTAAAATGAGGATAGTGTTCGACGCCTCGGCAAAAACTTCGTCCGGCAAGAGTCTTAACTCCATCCTCGCTCCGGGTCCTGAATTGCAGGATTCTTTGTTTAGTCACTTATTGCGTTTCCGGTTCCGTGCTATAGCATTTACCGCCGACATCGCAAAAATGTACAATCAGATATTGGTTCATCCGATTGATCGGGATTTTTCACGGGTTATCTATCGTCGAGATCCTTCAGGACCAGTATGTCACTATCGGATTACATCGATTCCGTTTGGTACGACACCGGCCCCGTACGTAGCCAAGCGAACGTTACGGCAACTCGCGGAAGATGAAAAACACAACCTCCCTATGGCCTCCCGAGTGCTAAAGAAGGCACTTTTTATGGATGATCTTATTCATAGTGTAGACACGGCCAGAGACGCTATTCTCTTGAGGCGCGAACTAATTACGATCCTAGTATTAGCCAAGATGACTCTCAGGAAATGGTCATCGAATTCTCCAGAACTATTATCCACACTTCCTGAGGATATGCGGGAAACTCAACTCCCTCTGAATTTCGATGTCACCGCCACAGTGGGTACTCTTGGGCTAACCTGGCACCCTGCCACGGATAACTTCCAATATAAGGTCACCTTAACGCCGAGGACTGTCCACACCAAACGCAGCGTGCTTTCGGACATATCTAAAATCTTTGATCCATTGGGCCTGCTCGCCCCAATCATAGTCACCGCAAAAATATTTATGCAAAAAATATGGGCACACGAATTAGGATGGGACGACGCATTGCCCGATCATCTTCATGAACAATGGATGCAATACTCCAACACGCTGCCCGACGTGGAGAACATTCGTATTCCACGATGGCTAGGATTCGCCTACCCTCCTTACGACGTGGCTGGGAAATCAACTCCATCACATGCGGAATTGCACGGGTTCTGTGACGCTAGTGAAAATGCATTTGCTGCAGCGATTTATTTACGCACCGAACACCCAGACCATGGCATCAACGTCAGATTAGTAGCTTCCAAATCACGAGTTGCCCCCCTCAAAACATCCACTATTCCACGCCTGGAATTACAAGGCGCCGTCTTATTGACAGAATTAATGGTTCATCTGAAAAAGGAATACAAGATGGGTGGTCACTCGATTTATTATTGGACTGACTCGACCATTGTTCTTCATTGGCTGAATTCTCACCCATCGAAATGGAAGATATTTGTCGCACATCGAGTAGCGCAGATATAGGAGAAATCAGATGCTACGCAGTGGAGACATGTAATATCAGAAGAAAATCCCGCTGATTGCTGTTCCCGCGGTCTATCCCCTGTCGAGCTCAAGGATTTTACATTATGGTGGGAGGGACCTGAATGGCTACATCGTCCTTCTACCGCTACAGAGTTCGAACCACCCATTTGTGACGATCCTTGTCTTCTCAAGGAAGCTAAGCCCAAGCCAATCTTGCATCTCACTACGCAGGAACCTCATTACATCATCCGATGTCTAACCCGAATATCGTCTTGGAACAAAGCAGTTCGCGTTATGGCATTGTTATTAGCTATCGCACGTCGTCGTACGTTTCGAGGCAATGTTCCACACCCAGTCGCCTCTGTAGCTGTATCAACGGCTGAGGACATGCTCGTTCATCTCATTCAAGCCATCGCTTACCCTGGATTAGATACAGCCATTCAGAACTTCTTGCGCCCATCCCATATTGGCCGGTATGCTTTTGTCCGCCCACTGGCACCGTTCATCTGCCACCCTATACCAGTTATCAGGGTCGGTGGACGGTTAAGACATGCAGGATTGCCCTATGAAACCCGGAATCCCGCACTGCTACCCGTTGGCCACCCGCTCGTAAAGGCGCTTATTCTACAGACACATCAAACTCTGGGCCACGCAGGGCGACTGACCGTTCATAACCATCTTCGTCAAAAATTCTGGATTCCAAATGCCGTCAAGTCCATTAAGTCTATCCAGGATAAATGCCTCGTTTGTCACCGATACAATGCTCAATCCGAAGTCCAACTCATGGGTCAATTACCCGCCCCAGAGTCAATGCATCTCGCCCGTTCCTCCACACAGGCGTCGATCTCTGTTTTCCATTTCAGCTTAGAAATTTCACTGGACGCGGAGGTAGATTCAAAGTATGGGTATCGCTGTTTACGTGTCTCGCCACACGTGCGATACATTTGGAGATCGTCTCCTCCCTATCCCAGTTTGGGTTCCTGTTGGCTTTTCGACGATTTATCTCTCGACGAGGGATTCCGACTGTTATGTATTCTGACAATGGGACAAATTTTGTCGGAGCGAATAATCATCTAACTAACGTCATGGCACGACGCCTTATCACTCAAGGCCTTGCCAACACTCTATTACTCAGCCTGGACTTGGACAGAATCACTTGGAAATTTAACCCCCCATCCTCGCCATCTCAAGGCGGGGTATGGGAAGCCATGATCAAGACTGTCAAGGTTGATCTCCGAAAAATTAGTGACGACACGGATTACACATGGGAACAGTTCGAATCACTGTTAGTATTTGTGGAATCTATCATCAATTCTCGCCCGCTGACTCCAGTCTCCGAAGACCCGTTGGACCTCGAGGCATTGACTCCTGCCCATTTTCTAATCGGCACCACTGCCGCCATGATACCTGACGATGGTTTAACTCATCTTCGTCTCAATCGGTTGGACCGCTACCAGCTAGTCCTATGTATGTATGTATTGGTGGGGTGACGATCCTGCCATCGTTGGACAGGACCGTCAGCTGCGCAAGCACTAAAGGCTTATTGCAGGCTCCCCGTATACACCGCTTTACTGTGCTAAGTCATGACTCTCACGATTTACAGATCTAACTTGACCTACAAACCGCCCTGATCTGATTATGAATTGAATTAGATCGGGCAGAGACATAGTCACTATTTGCTCTGGTGGCAACTCATGCCTCCCAAAGAGTTCTGACCTTAGGGCACAATACTTGTCGCAGGACCCAAGAAAATGAAATACAGTCTCAGGGCCACGGCCACATAGGCACATAGCCTCATCAACTAATCCCATTGTTCTGAGGTGCCCGTTTAAAGTACAATGCCCGGTACCAGCTAGTCCTCCGCCAGCAACAAGAATTGTGGAAACGCTGGCAAGAGGAATATATTACGGCACTCCAGAAAAGACCTAAATGGCAACAAGACCAACCCAATCTACAACAGGATGACATGGTCATTATTATGGATGACAATCTACCCCCTCTCAAATGGCGCATTGGACGAATCAAAACCGTCCACCCCGGACAGGATGGACTTGTTCGCGTCACCACTGTGGAAACGGATACCTCTTATACGGATGACAACGGCAAACTCGTCAAAACCTTCAAGTTATGCGCCCAATTACTAAGCTAGCGCGAATTCCGCTTGAGCAGGACGAACAGACGCCCGAGCTGAAGGCCTTGCCTTATCCCGCTCACGAGCCTGCGGTTACAACCATCGTACGTTCTGGACGAATGTATAATATTTCTCCGGCAAACTGGCTCGGCACCGTTCTTGCTCTAGCATCATGTGCGCCATCCGCTCTCGCCAATAGCACCGTTCTTCACAACTCCACCATGGATCTCGCCGCCTCCATCACGGCTCCGCAATTTCCAGTTCCGTCAATCACGGTCACTACCTTTGTTGCCGCCATACTACTCATATTTGCCATTGTGGGTACGATTGGAAATCTCTTCACCGTGCTCGCCATATTGAACGCGCCTCACTTACGCGTTAACCACATCCATTGGTCCCTGATATCTTTGTGCTGCAGTGATTTCATATTCTCCAGCACAACATTACCATTGGCCGTTTCACGATTTTACTATCGTCGATGGGTTTATTCGTCCTGTATCTGCCAACTTTACGCCTTCCTACTTTATGGAACCATCATCTGTAGTTTGGCACATCTCGTCACTATTACGCTTAATCGTTATACGAAAATCGTACATTTCGCCTGGTATCAGCGTATTTATACGGATCGTTTCGTACTACTGACCCTGGCCGCCATCTGGATCTCCAGTTACGGTATTTTAGTCCCACCCCTCCTAGGAATTTGGGGAACCCTCGGGCCTAAACCTAATGATCCATCCAGTTGTACGATCCTGCCGGATGCCTCAGGGCACTCAACTAAACGCACTATCTGGATCCTCGGAAACCTGTTACCCTTCGCCATCATGTTTGCTTGCTACTTACACATATGGCTATTTGTCCGACGCACCCGGTCTCACGTCAGGAAACTATCGGATCCCATCAAACAAACCGGCGTTACCAATCTCCGGCCAACATCGCCCGACTCACACCTCACTAGAATGATCATCATCATTGTCGTCGGCTATCTTACCTTCTTCCAGCCCCTTCTCGTTTTAAATTGGATAGACCCCGCTCGGACTCGCATATCTCCATATCTCCATCTCCTCTCTGCAATCCTCGCTTGAGTTTTCTGAACCTACTGATCTATGTTTGCACTAACCGCGATTACCGTGCTGCCTACGTGGACTTTCTTGCGCCCCGGAAGGTTCCTCCACGTCCTCCGCAACGTCGGAATTTCGCAACAATGACCAGGATGATATCATTTTTGGCCTTCATTGGCACTACCATTGCCACACACGAAGTCCAACCAGATCTGTCGACGAAGGCTCCAGCGTGCTCCACCCCTTGGGAGACCCATCATCGGATTCCACCGTGTACGCAAACGGTTCAGTGGTTACACATTTTGACCAATGGAACCGTATGTTCACGCCGTATCACCTGTTCTGATCAACAAATGGTCACCGCGGACGCTAAGACCTGTATGGACACAACATCCGAATGCAAAACACGACAACGCCTCAATTTGGACCATATCCAGTGCCAAACCCCCAGCAATGCTCATCATGTCGAGCAACTCCGAATCCATCCATTAAGGTCCACCCTCTGTACGGTTGGCGCATTCACCCTCAGACATTGTGATGATTTCACAGAGGAAATTACCACCGTGCCTATAGCTATTGTCAACCATCACGCCTATCCGCTGGACACGATGAATTTGGCACAACATGCTCACATGAAGGAACTCTCCTCATACAGTTGTGAAGGGGAAGGCGACAATCAACGATGCGATCGAGGCGATTGTGGTGGAACACCATTATTCTGAAGTCATTGACTTTGTCATCAGCACGTACGACATGAAGATTCAGACACAGTTGCGTCTTGCCAGTGCGACTTCAATAGCTCCAGCCTAGTGCATCAAATCGCAACGAATCAAGGCAATCTGACTCCGACTTGTTGGGGTCACCTACGACTCCCTGTCCGCAAGGAGCGTAGAGTTATGGATTCGCAGGAATACTTATCCCTTACACTTACCCAAAATGTCCATGCGAAAATGATACGAATGTTTGGAACTAGTCATAAGTTAACGTTGTTCGCTGCCCGAAAGGTTGGTCGAATATTTGCGAAATTGGATAGGTTAGATGAGGGACTTTGCTATAATAAGAAATTACTACAAGTACATTTAGAGCTGTTCGGTACCAATGACGAGGACACGATCTATGTCCTTGCAATCTTGGCCGATGTATTAAGACGCTTAAGTCGTTATGAGGAAGCTCGCTTGGAGTTAAAGCAAGTATATGAATGGAAAAAAACTAATCTTGGTATTTCAGATTTCGATACGCTCGTCACCCGTCTAGATTTAGCACTTCTTGCAAAACTCCAAAAGAAGAAGAATTTCAAGGAACTTCGTATAGAATATCGAGATATACTTTTTCTCCATAACAAGATTTCCGGAGTGGATCAATTTAAAATGCTTAGGTTAAAAAAGATGCTTGGGTTCGCTCTTGTTTCCATCCACGATACAGAGGAGGGTCTTCGTTTGTTGCGCGAAGTGCTGATTAGTTACGAACAGCTTCTGGGATATAATCATGCTGAAACACTTAAACTGCGAATTGAAATAAATGAGAAGGAAAATTGGAAGGTTGCAAATTCAAATTTGGAATATACATACAAGTATAAGAGGAATGGTATATATTATTCTTTATAAATACTTAATGTAATAAAAAGCTGTAAGCAAATAAACAAATATTTTTCTATTCGAAGAAGATAAGTATCTGTCATCATCGTATATCATCGTGTTAATTCTGAAATGCTCTAAGTGTGGTCTACGCTTAATGTTGAGAAGGCCTATGTGCATACTAAAAGCATCGAAAACAACGTATTTAGGACTTTCTAAAATTAGTAAGACGATAGGCATATGTACATAAAAATATTTAAGTATGTATGTATCTACTCATCCTCAGGCATAATGAATGATATATACCAATCCTTTTAGCGTCGAAATCACCAATGAAAAAAATTCCAACTATGAGTAACTAACCAACGACTTATACTATTTTACTCCAGTAAATAAAAATGAGGAAATGTCCAGCACACACGATTAATTTGATAGCGATCAATCAACTTCAAGATAGTGGATTGTAAGTATTTACAATAAATTTTATTATTCCGCGACGTGATATGCAGGTGCTATTTACCTTATCAACGAACAGTTAACCGACAAAGGAGCACGAATGGGATTCCATTGTCTTTTTATGAACCGATAACATATCAATTTATAAAGGTGAGCTTAATTATATCTGACAGGATACAATTATTGTGAAATATTATTCAGTTGGGTCTCCGTCCTCCATGACAAGTTTTATGTTTTATGTTCCAGCGACTGCTGAATAATACTGTATTTTTGTTAAACGGACGGTCGAAGTGGTGCAAAATTGAAATTTTTCGAGGGACGTTGTACCTGATTAAATTTCAGAAACAAGCGGGGTAATCAGTGCCAGGTAATTTTTTGGGGAAATAATTTCAACAAAGCTAATAACAACCTTCAGAAAATCGTTCCGACGACGCTTTTTCAAAAAACTAATTGCAGAGATTATTACCCTGTGTGTGAGTAGTATCTCTTAATTGCTTTTAACTATTTCAATTTCTTTCTAGTTAGTTTTTCATGCACTGATTGGGTCAAAAATGGGGGACGCGGGTGAATCAATGGTGAATTGGTCAGCGGGAAGCAGTCTTCGAGGAGTTGAGCTAGATCGCGCATTTCAGAACTCCCTGCGCCAATCAAAAATCTCAAATTCAAAGGACGTTCGCATTTGTAAATGTTTGGGTGAGACGGGATCCGCCGTTTGCACCTATGGGATCGTGGGAATCCTGATCGCCGGAATTTTAGCTCTACCAATAGCCATGATTTGGGTTGGGTGGAAATATAACGACCGCTCGGTACACTGTCCGGCCGAAGATTTGCCGAATAGTTTGATCGCGGGTGTGTGAGCAATAATACATTTGTCGAAGTAAGGCATGTGTGCAAAAATATAAGAGCCGGCCCAAGAATCGAACCTGGGACCTCTCGATATCCGGTTGAGTACCTCAATCACTGAGCTACCAACGTTATCCATGTATTTGTCACTACATTTTCCAGCCAATATATCCAACTAATACGATAAGTATTCTCTCACAGGTGGAATTTTATTTCTCATCCAAGGATTTGCGACGTCTTGTTGTGCAGGGAAGGATGGTGCCAAATGTCTCACTGGATTAGTCGGAACGGCACAATTTTGCTGGCTGGTTGCCGCTCTGGTTTTGCTTTATCGGACCGATATTATTACCTACAAGTCTGACGACCCGAATTATTGCATTCCCGCCGTGTATAGTTTTGTCTGGTGGGTTGTCACCGTAACCATGGGGTTCACTGGGGTCTGTGTTATCGTAGGTTTGGCTGCGTTGTGCATGTCAAAATGCTAGATATGGGATTTTGCAAAAGCTCTAATTTTTATGAATTATTGGATTAAATTAGCACTACCAAACATTTTGTTGTAATATTTCAAAGTTGTTAAAATTTGGTAAAAATAAATGAAATTGTGCAACGGTTTTGAAATTTTGGACGACATTGAGGCTGAAAATATTTTTGTAGAAATTTAAAAAAAATGGTTCCAATTTTTGGAGGTATGTAGTCTTACTAGAGCTGTCCAGATTCATAGTGTAAGGAAGGAGCAACACGGTTTACTAATTCCTTATTCCTCTATGATTATCTCATACATAGTCAGATCTGGAGAGTGTGACTCAATTTTAGTATTGCCCAGTGTAAAAGCGCACAAACATAAACGTGGACACGGGCCCACTTGTGCCCACCGCTATATTTTTTGGTAAGCCTGGTATTGGGGTCGACCCTCAACTCGTAGGACACCTCAGTATGTTCCCCGGTGGGAGATAGTCCAGTGGGTATTAAAAGTATCTCTCGATGACACTTCCGACCCGGACACTGTTTTCTTACTGATGGAAAATTTAATTATGTCTGTGTAGTGTCGTGTTTCTGTCGTCCGGGTTGCCTACCTACATATGTAGATATGCTGCTGTAAGTGTACATAACTTTGGAGGATTACACATGTTTCGATATTTTTTTTACAAAAATCCATGCAATTCAATTTGTTTAACATCGAAATTTACCAAATTCGAATATGTCATAGGTAGTGTAACATGTACAGTCAACCGTTGCCATAAACTGTTGCTATGCTATAATACATATGCTACATATTATAGTATATCAAAGAATTCGATTTGTATACTGGTATAATTCAAGTGCTCACATCCTGTCAGATCGTATATCATGACTACGTTATAAGCCACGCTTTGATGTTCAGTCAGCGTAGTAATAAATAAATGATAAGATAACGGACCCGGTTTGTATACTGTCTCCAGTGGCGGAAGTATAGCTTAGGGGCCGGTACGTGAGCCAGATTTGGGGGCCTATCTAAATTTACTTTACCCATACATATGTGCCTGTATCATGAATTCTAGCAGTTTAATGAAGAATTCATATCCTATCCTTTACATGACGTACATCAAATTAAAGTAATTTACGCATTTTTAAAAGTTTTCCCAAATTAATTCCAGAAAATTGTGTAAATTAAAAAGATTACCACTAATTCAAAACATTTTATAAATTACATACCTAAAACAACTTGGGAGAGTAGTTTTTATAGCTTGTGGAAATTGTTTCTTGCCACTTTGGTGATTTAGCATTTGGTGAGCTTTCGAAGAAATTAATTCTCTTGTCCGCATATTTCTGAACTCATAAATAATAATGAGCGTCCTCACGCCAACTTCGCATATCTCGCATATCTCACAAATTGAGGATAGCCATATAACTTGCGAAGTTTTGCGAGATATGCGATATTTTGCAAAAATTTTGCTGGAAAACGATGATGTCTTTTTTTTGGAAATTTACCCAGAAATGGGGCATGTTCTTATTTCGCAAGTTTAGATATTTCGCAAACCCATCCTCACCATTACCGGCATGAGAAATTACAGAAATCTATGGAAATAACAGCAAAATATGTGTTTTGCAGTAGATTTGCAAGATTAGAGAGATTGAATTTGAAGTCGAGGTCACATTTTGCGAATCACTTCACGGCAGAAATATTTTAATCTTCGCAAGTCTGCTAAATACGTTGCGATGCAAAATAAGACGCTGTCATGAGTACGCCCAATATAATCCCTGCGAATTTCATTCACATTAGGACTGAGAACGATAACATCAAATCTTGATATCTAACTGGGTAAATTGATTTATGGAGTTCCATCAAATGTTATTTAGAAACGCGAGAAGGACCGTAGCCGCTGGAGGGCCCAAACTTTAACAGAGTTAGTGACTAAATAAATCTTTGTCAACGATTAAACTGTCTGTCATTATTTTTTAAGGTTTTTGGGAAATTTTTAATTATTATTGAGAAATTTGAATATAACAAAGTCTGAGGGCCGGGGGCCGTTCCCAAGTGGGGGCCGATACGTGGGACGTATCCTGCGTACCCCTATTTCCGCCAGTTGTATGAAGGTATTTTCCGCTAATAGTACAATTCCTTTGCTAACTTAAAGGATAAATGTAGAATATAAGGAAAAAGGGACAATATTTGGGCTTAATAGAAATCCTTCTGTCTAATTGAGTGTAATCAAATGTCTGGTTAATTTTGTGTATGTAGTTCGAAGTACTTGCTCAGAGAATATGTTAACTGTCGAGTATGGCATTTTGCTTGCTGTAATGGTTCAATGTGTAAACTAGAGTTACCTTCGATAGGTTTACTCGTCATTGTTGTATCGTTTCGTCATATAAAACAATATAATAATACATTGTAATAATAATAATTATGCATATTTAGTTTATATATATGTACATAGATCATTATACTCCATTCTTCGGCTTTTGTAAGCCACATACATTACATACCCTTCCCCGGCGAAATTTAGAGAAACTTTTGTCTCTGCCTCACGCAATCCGTGGGCAGTTGTGTTTCTAAAATTTAAAATTGATTGAAGTACGTATGCATCTGTTTCGTATTTTATAAACATGCTTTCAGACATATTACTTTGAATCAAAATGTGCAGAAAGGCAGCCTTTTTGCCATTTTTCATATTCGCTTGCATTTTTTCGTGCCTGTTTGCCCTTTTGACGAGCTAGATATATGTATACACATATCGCGAAATTCATTCATATACACATATTTACGCAATAAATTTGTACATAGAGGAGTGCAAGTGTCAAAAACATTGGTTCTCGATTTTTCTACCCAACCCACTCAACGTTTACATTAAGGGATAAGGAATGTTAATATGGGAAAGATAGAAAGTTCTAAAAAAGCAATTGACTAAAATGCTGAAGTAACATATGGACGTTCCCTAACATGCAATATAACCACGGCACAATAAAAACGTGCTTTCTAACATTGGCGAACAGTGCGTCCGACAATTGAAGGCAAACTTTGAAACTTAATGAACAATTGGCTTTCTAAATTTTAATTTTAAAAGACACCATCAAAGCATCACATTTTATTTGGTCTCTTGTCACCATGAATACAATTTTTTGGTACGTGCTTATTTTTCGGCTGCAATTTGCAACAGGGTTCCATCACTAGTTTATCCCACAATTCGATGATGACCAAATGGAGGAAAATTTAAAAAGTGATCCCCAACAAAAGTAAGATTAAACAAATACATACACCAAAAAAATAATTGCAGTAATGTTAGAAGTAGCTCACTTTGTACTAGATTTTTGGATATATTTAACTGCGCACCGAGGTACGGAACAAGTTGACAAAATGGATAAACTTTTGGATAAATTTGGATAAATTTGTGTGTACAATTTTGAACAAGTTGTGCAAAATAAACGGATAAAATTCTTAATTACTTTGCACCAATGGGGAACGGAATATATAGTTTTAAAAATTTTATGCCAAAACTGAATAATTATTTTTCCTGGATATTCTGCACTATTCTTCCGTTGTTCACCATTTTTCGTTCCCGATTGTTCTATATCGATGGTGCCAATAATGTACTAAAAATGGAGCGGGTTTTATTTAATTAGCATCAATTGTTGCCAAAAAATTCGTGAACAGACAGTACGAAGGACAGACAAGCGGATTTCCATATCGTTCATGCTACGTAAGGTTAGCAAATAATTGATTAAATAATCTATACTTTCAGCATAACAATAGCGCGACGTCGTAGAGGAGAATGGCTTCGGTCAAAGCGCACCACCGATTGGGGCGACTGGGGTGGCGCTCAATTTTGTCCGTGGGGATCGTTCGCTGAGGGCGTTTCTATCAAATATGAAGAACTCGGAACCAATGACGACACAGGGATTAATGGAATGCATTGAAAACAACGAACAATGCGTAGGCATGAAGTGTTTATCGCAGATTTTGGCCGGAATAATTTTTAATTGTTCAGGAACCGAAATGGACGGTTTTCTTGTGTACGTTTTCTTTCATGTTTTGGCCTTTCGCACATTTTTAAATAAATTGACAGCTGAACTCGTAATTATCAAACAATTGAAATATACAAAACCATATAAACACTGAATATAGGGTTTTGTATATTTCGATTCTTTAAATTTCGCCACGGTCACGATTTTAGTCTTCAAAACCGCGTATGGCGAAAAATTCCTGTGGGCGTCAAAAAAATCGTACAGGGTCGAACGATAGCTCATTCTTTTCGTGAGGCATTGCCGCAACCAATAAAAAAATTTAGAAAGTCCAAAAAAAATCACCCATGAATTTTCATTTTGGCCTCTCATTTTGAAATGGTAAAAAAATTCTGACCTTGGATCGCGCGGTGACCTTAAAATTCAGCGACGAGGGATTATTCGCCAATTAGTTTATACAACTGCGTGCAGAGTTTCGAAGCTCTAAGTGCTCGGGATCATGTCGTAATTAAAAAAAACGCAAAGGTCCACTTAATTTTTTCTGCTAACTGTACATATGTGTAAAGTTTCTATGGATATACCTATGTATATGTTTGAAAATCGAGTGGTATGCATATAAATATTTTAAAATTCCAAAAAATTCTTGAAAACCCATTTAGTTTAAAACTGTTGTATAATTACATTACTAAAAGCATGCTTTAATTAAATATTGAAGTGCATACTTACGCTGAAAATAATTTGATAATAATTATTGTGATTTATTACCGAATTCGTAACGTATATGCTCTGCAGATGCGGTAATAACGCGCATTACATTTGGTAAAGATTTGGTAATAAATCTTAACCAAGTTGATAATAATTTGTTACCAATTTGTAGTAAAAAGCTACCAACTGTTGTAAAATCTTTACCAAAATTCGTAATGTATATGATTCTGCAAAATTATTTACAGTGTATAACTTGTAAGTTAAGAGAACTATCCCTCTCAACTACATTTCGTTCTAAACAAGTCCAGGCGGCATTAACAAAATCTTGCCTTGTTAACAAAATTCATTATTGTTAACAAAATTGTGTATCACATTTAATTTCCCTATATGTGAGGCTCCAGTAATCAGATCACACTAGCTAATATTGGCAAGACAGAAGTTTCCTTCAGGCCCATGTTAGCTAGCGTGACATCTAC